CTTCTTTACTTTCCCTCTGTTGTTTCAGTCTGTGTGGGTGGTTGGAGGGTGTCACTGGTAGGTCCTACTTCTTTACTTTCCCTCTGTTGTTTCTGTGTGTCTGTCTTACCTTTTTACCCTCCCTAACTGACCACTACTGTGTGGATGTGCTTCTCTTTACTCAACAAACAAAACAAAGTGCCAATTACTGCTCAACAGCAAGCTCTGTCGCTTTACACCCAATAATATCTTTTTACAAGAAAAGCCCCAAAAAGTCTTAATACAAGAGTGCGCAGTAGGGCAGCAATGGTGCTCTGGTGTGGTTTGCTCCTTCTTTCCTATCAAACATCTATCGTCCTTATCTCCCCTTTTTCATTTTTATGTTTGTTATTCTCCTGTAACACCTCTAATCTTCTGGCGCTCATATGACCTTATGCAGTTGTGAGTGCCGTAAAACTTTTACTAAAACTAAAAACTCTGTTGTAACAACTCTAATCTTCGGCACTTATAATACTATATGACCTTATTGTGTTGTTAGTGCCGTAAAATACTTACTAAAACATAAAACTAAAACACGTACCATAATAATTTTATAATATTAAAAACCATATTTTTGTCTCTCTCTCTCTCTCTCTCTGTGCACTCACACGTACGTGTACGTACAGGGTCAGGTGAAGTGAGCGGCGAGCTGGGCTGCATGTACTGGTGCACCGTTGCCTACTGGGAGCTCCGAGAGCGGGTTGGTCGGCTGTTCCCCGTGTCAGGGCCGTGCGTGAACGTGTTCCAGCAGCTGCCACGCGGCGACGGGATGTGTCTGCGTCTGCTTCAGCGGCCCAGCGGTGTTGAGGCGGTGTGGAGGACCAGGGACAAGATCGGCTTCGGCATCGTGCTGAGCCGAGAGGCGGCCCGCAGTGATAACGTCAATGTGAATATGCACAATCGGATTATGTTAATGGGGGGTGGAGGAGGTGGTGGTGGTGATAGGGGAGGAGGAGGTGGTGAAGGAGGAGGAGGAACGGAACGAGGCTCCTCATTGACGATGCTGCACCCTCCACCACCTCCTTCGTCTTCGTCTTCGTCGTCGTTTCCCTCCTCCTCCTCATCGTCTTCGTCGTCAGTTGTGTTTTCTGATGAGGCCCGTCTGGCAAACGGTGTGCTTCGGGACGTACCTGGCCGCAGCCATATTGGACGCTGCGGCTGTAACTGTGGTGGTGGTGGGCCGGTGGTTCTTAACGCCGTCACCTCGGCAGCAGCAGTAGCAGCAACAGCAACAACAACAGCAACGACAACAACAGCAACCGCATCTACCTCCAGGAACAGTGGGAGCAGCATCGGACTCTCCGATAGAGAGCAGCAACAGCAACATCATCATCCTCATTACGGTTGTCAGCATCAGCATCATCATGGTTGTCAACAGCAACATCTGCAGAATCATCAGCATCAGCAGCCACATCATCACCATCATGGTTGTCAGCAACAGCATCATCATCATCTTCATCATCATGCGTATCAGCAGCAACAACAACATCATCATGGTCATCAACAACAGCAACACCACCACCACCACCACGAGGAGACGGTGGATCTGTGCGTGTCGTGTTGTGAGGGAGAGGAAGACATGCAGACCTCCACCTCCTCCCCGTCCTCCCCACAGCCTCAGTCACCTCCCTTGTCATCTTCCTCCTGGTTGTCGTCTTCCTCCTCAACCTCCACCTCCTCGTCCTCCTCCTCCTCCCCGTTTTCCTCCTCCTCCTCCCCCCTCCCCCCCTGCCCCCTCACAGGCAGTGAGAACCCCATAGAGTGTGACTGTAGCGAGCCTCCCCCCTCCGCCCCCTCCTCCGCCACCACCACCACCAGCGTAACGTCTTCGAACCCAGACCCCCACCACCACAGGGCCGGCACTGAGAGAGGTGTGGTCTTACACCCCTCCTCCTCCTCCCTCTCCCCCTCACAGTGTGCAACAAACAAGAACGACAGAATCAGCCTCCTTCCTCCCTCCACGTCCCCCTCCTCCCCGTCTTCCCCTTCCACATCCACCACCACGGACCCCTTCATAGGGACAAACCTGACGACAACAACAGCAACAACAACCAGCAATAACTCTTCCCTCCCCTCCTCCCCCTCCTCATCCTCCTCCTCGTCGTCAGGCACTCCCCCCTCCCTCCCTCCCCCGCCCCAACAGGGAGAAGTGTGGGCCTACAACGCGTCCAGCTTCCCAATCTTCGTCAACTCCCCCACGCTGGACGACCCCCACTCCCCCCGCTCGCTGGTGGTCAAGAAAGTCCCGCCCGGTCACTCCATCAAGATCTTTGACTACGCGCGCGCCCGCCTCTTGGAGCGCACGCAGGCACGCAACATTCTGCTGAGTGACGGGCCTTACGACGCGTGTAGCGTGCGCATCAGTCTGGCCAAGGGCTGGGGTCCCAACTACACGCGACAGTTCATCACCTCGTGCCCGTGTTGGCTGGAGGTGCTCTTGGGCGTGCGCCGGCACGGTGTGTCTTCCTGATACACGTACAATATGGCAGGCTGTGTTCCTTCGCATGGACGGATGTACTTTCTGACGCACGCACGCACAGACACATGGATGTACATATGCACACAGTCAGGCAGGCATGCAGACATACACACGCAGTCGGACACACAAACTATAGCTTGTTCACTTTCGTCTGACCTCGGTTAAAACAAGATAAAATAAAATAGCTCTGTTTAATCTTCGCAGATCTTCGTATATATATACGGTTCTAAAAGTTGGATGACTAACAAAATCTAAAAGCCCATTCATAAAGATCTCTGCAAACTGATGTTCCAACACGTTATCTTTGATGTAAGCCTAAAGGGGTTAAAAAAATAATGATGAATATACAGCATACACCTAGAACATAAAAAGGTCGATGTATTTTCCTCAACACCACACCCTCATGTACGGTACACCGAAGAAACGCGAAGAAACGCGATTCAAGAGAAGTGCCATGCAAGTGTCAAAAGTATAGGCACAGGGAAATAAATAAGTGAGCTAGAATTTTTTTTTTCATGCGGTCAGGCGAAAGTGACCAAGCTGTAACAGACGGCGTACACACGCAGTTGGGCACACGCACACTGACATACAGACGTACTAATGCAGTCAGTCTTGTGTGCCGACACACACGCGCACACACAGATGCATCTTATAAAAGCATAAATACAGACACATAAAAGACACATGCCATAGACATATGCGCCCGCACACACACACACACACACACACA